TCTAGTCAAAAGTGAGCTAATACAATAACAATTTAATGATATAAACGACAACTGTCAAGTGCGACTGCAGCGCATAAAAAATGTTGTTGACCAAATTACGCTATGACCAAATTACGCTACTTTACCCTATATATATATATTTATTTATTTATTTCTAGCACAATATAATATATATAATTACTATATTTCATATTAAAAAACTTTACGTTTTTATATATGTATGTATAAACGTGAAATTTTTTTAATATGAAATATAATAATTTGCAATATTTTTATATTATATATTTAAAAAGTCATATTTTTTACAAATTTTGAATTATAATTTTAAATTAGGTTCTTCTTTTTTTAACAACTTCTCGTACAATTGTGTTTATAAGGGGAACTTCTGAAAATTATTATATGTTCAGCACCCGGAAATTCAACATCCGCTGGTATTAATTCTTAGACTAATTGGACTCTAGAGACGAAACATTATCTGGGTCTTTCTACATCTTTCTACGAAACTGGATATGATATTTTAAAGTAAAAGTAAAAAAAAATACAATTAGAATTATTACTGGCAATGTTGATTTTAACTTCTTAATCTCGTAAGAAATATTGTCAATATTGACTATCCCCGTATTCGTTATTCGCAATCATTTCGGAAGTACGGGCTCTAGACACGTGCTTCGTTCGCTCACGAGATAAGGCTCGTTATAGAGGTACCCGTTGTTTCTGAAACATCCGCTATTTGGATATTGCGCCGATCGATCACGGCTGCGATCCCGGCTTGATCCATCATGGGTTGACGCGAGAATGGCGCAAAACAAAGGAAATATACTCAAGTGACGGCTTTTGCCGGTCCGATCGGTCTGAAGTCCAAGTGCGCCGGCACGCGGGCACAAGGCTTCCCGGCAACGCCTCTCTTTTTCTGTCTTTCTCTCGTCATCTCTCGTCATTTCCCGACTAAGAGAATATAATGAATGGAGTTCCGGCCGTGACGATTCCAGCTCGCCGCCGGCCCGGATTCTCGGGTTTCTCGGTATGCATCCGCACGAAGACAAGAGCCCGCTCTGTAACTCTAAACATCTCGTTGAAAAATTTCTGGAAGGATTCCTTCATGCGTAGCGTTGTGACGTCCCAATCACATCATGCTTCCTAAGAACAACCTGTTCTTAGATTAGAATTGCAATATAATACCGAATATCCGTTTCTACATGTCATTGTAAATATTTATTAGCATCTTGTAAAAATTTATACATTATATAAGCTACATTTTTGCTGTAACATACAATATTTTAGGAATATTTGATATAAATTATGCGTAACCGATTGGTTGTGCAACATCTAGATAGGTGCAATTATTTAAAAACATATAGTTTTTTTACATAAAATTGCAGCCGATTTAAATAAAAATGATTTTTCTGGTGTGAAAATTTATTATCGTGAAGATATATTCGTCGACGAGAGGTGATGAATATGAAATAAATACGTCGGCTTTTTGTCGAGTCTATATTTCCAAACGACCGATAAAAGATGCGCGAGCAGTAATAATTCTCTCGCGAGCGGCTGCGGTAAGAGTCGTTAGCATAAAACCTAAACGTATCGAATACGCGCCATTGTTCGATACTAGGCCATGGCACAATTTCAATCAGCGGCCTTAACGACTTAACGATCCGAATTATTGTTGGGCCCGTTTATCGGGTCGGTGCAACGTACGAATGTATTTACCCGTGTACCGCGCTTGCACTGCGCGCATGTGCTCGACATACGATCGCACGTAACGTACACACGTGAATCCTCCAACAAGGTAGTTAAAAGATGAGATCGACGAGACGGAGCAGTTATGTCATACGTGGCGCGCGCTGTTACGAGCGAGCAAGACACACTAATATTTATCTATCTAATATTTTAGAGTATAAGAAATAAGTAGAAAACTTGCCTACTTGACCAAGTTTTGTTCGATGAAGAGAAATAAAATTAGAGGTTTGTTCGTTATGAGCAGCTGTCGAGAAAGCAGCTGATGACAATTGCATTAAGATGGATTATCGAAATAATCATAACTAAATAACGCGATATCCTGATGGTATCAAAAAGTAAAGATTGACTCAGTTTCGAAACGAAATTTTTAAACTTGCAAAAGAGGATAAGTTTTATCTTAAGATAAGTCTTTTTTTCAATTATCTCCGGTTTATGGCATTTGAATTTAAAAGAACGGTCTATTATGTTAAAGATATGATACTGTTAGATCTGACCGAAAAATGAAGGAAATCGAAGGGGATCGAAATTTAAACTAGAATTCTTCGTTTTCAGCAATTTTTAGCACTTCCAATTAGCATGCGACCCCACAAGTGCTCCGCTCTTCTCGTAATTATTTTGATCTATATGATATATATATATATATATATATATATATATATATATATTTCTAATTGGTTTTACGGCTCTTTTATTTTCCTACAATATCGTATAGGACATTATCTGTAATCATCTCGCAATAATTTCGAGAGCATCAATAATCTAAAATTCTACAGTACAGTAGTTGCGGCACGTAACAGCGCGCACGGTTACAAATGCGACCGCGCGACACACGCGAGACGCATTATTCTACAATCGTAGTAAATCACGACTAAAGTATTATACGTTTATATATAAAGAGGTAATTTGGCAGTGTTATAATACGCGTGTGAATACACGCGATTGTTTGTCCATGTAGATACGCAATATATAGCTTCTCGCCATCCACTTCACATAGTCCGCATTTTTGCACGCGAGATAGCGATCTCGGATATAATGGCATAAACTTTACGCTATGATCGGTCGCGTTGTTATAAAATCACGCGCAATTGGAGCAGATTTACCCGATATTTCCATCCATTAAACTACCATTGGCCTTCTATCGATGTTCTCATAGGAGTTTCGTGACATAATTAATAAAATGTTCAAACTATATGTATTACAGCTTGAATCATTTTCAAAATTAACGCAGTATGGACTTAAAAAAAATTGATCTATTTATCTATATCGTTGATATTTCTGACTCTTATAATCATCTATTTGCAGATAATTATTTAGGGGTTAAACATTAATTACCTACTATTTTATATTCGTTTTCAAGGAGATGTACTATTATTTTCCCATTGCTTCTTCAGCAATTCTTGCTCCACGTCCAGCGGTAAGATTTTGTAACGCGCCTGACGTTTGTTCTCCAGATCCTCCGCCAAACTCTGCAGGAGTTCCTTGAATACATAATTGTCCAGATTTTTCGCTATGTAATAGAGAAACAGCCAGTCACCGAAGTAGTACTCGTGAGTGACCTTGAGCACGTTCCACGGATTGTACTTTCCAGGGCACGCCATGGAGAACACGAGCCTGTTGAATGACGTGCTTCTGCAAGTGAAAAAAAAACCCGCAATATAAGTCGCCCGCCCGCGGCATCGCAATCGTGCTCTGTCGTCATTTTTATATTAGAGCCCTTATCGCGGTGCGTGTAACGTCACTGCTAGTCTTTCCGTATATCCTTTCTTACGTCATTCACATGGTATTTTTAAGTACGCATTTTCTTAGATCTCGCTGACGTATGCATATCCCTCGAGCCTTACAAACACCAAATATAATAACAGTATTATGTTTTAACATGTATTAGAGGATACACTTAGTTTTTGCCGTTTCTTTTCTTGGAAAACGCATTTATTTCAATAAGAATATGAATTAATACCTTAGTCAAAATATTTTTCATCGTTTTCTATTACTTTTTCCCATCATCTTTCTGCAGGCAAAAGTTGGATTCCGCGACGATAAAACGAGCTGTCTTTTGAAACAAACCATGTATTCACAATTTTTCTTACTTGTTCGTAATTGGAAAAATGTGTATCAGCAAGCGTGTGTTGCAAAAGTGTTGCATCGATCGGAAAAGATGGTAATCCGATGGGGCCAAGTCTGAAGAACAGGCTGGGTGTTGAAGAACTTTCTATTCGAGCTCTAACAATGTTTTTTTCACATAATTTGAGATATTCAAGAAAAATCTTATTTCAAAGATTAGAAAAACTGTTTAAAGTCCCGTCAACATTACTATAATTACAATTAGTTGAAGAATGCCATGAAAATTTTTGGATAGATATTATCCAGACATCTGACATGCCACGGCAAATTTCTAGTCGAGCAGTAATCGACGGAAAATGATTCTTTTACATGACAACGCGCGACCACATGTTGCAAGAACCGTGAAAGAAACATTGTTAGAGCTCGAATAGGAAGTTCTCCAATACCCAGCCTATTCTCCAGACTTGGCCCCATCTTTTCCGATGCAACACGCGTTCGCTGATACACATTTTTCCAATTACGAACAAGTAAGAAAATGGTTGGATACATGGCTTGTTTCAAAAGACAACTCGTTTAATGTTTTATCGTCGCGAAATTCAACTTTGGCCAGAAAGATGGGAAAAAGTAATAGAAAACGATGAACAATATTTTGACTAAGGTATTAATTCATATTATTGAAATAAATGTGTTTTCCAAGGAAAAAAACGGCAAAAATTAAGTGTATTCCCTAATATTTTTATGGTAAAACTTTACTTTCTATGTTTTAATTTTTTTATAACAGATATGCTATTAAAAAGTATTATTGCTTCCATATAAATCTAAATAGGAATAAATTTTAATATAAATACAAATAGAAGATAATCTTCCCGGATAAGATATAGAATATAGATGAATATTCTAGGCAAAAAGAGAAGGCCGCAATGAAATTGCGAGGTACAGAGATTACGTTTGCATAGACTATAGAAATTACTTTTAACGTAAACGACGCGTATGATGTATGATACTTGTAAATTCGTCAAACGAAAATTGCCAGGAAAAAAAAACCATTGAGCGATTACCGCGACGAGAATTTATAAAGCTAAAAAACGTAATACGCTGACAACAGAAAAATATGTGGAGTCCAAATTTAGCAACCTTGCATGAAGAATCATGGTCAGTAGTCTCCAAACCAATCCCAAACCGGTTAGCACCGCCAGCACGACGAACCAGAACCAAAGGGCTGTATAGATCTTCTCGTTAACGATGTTCAGTGCCATCACGCACAATGCGTCGTGCGTTTCCATAGAACCAGACTTGCCGTACTTATAAAAAGTACATTTGGTCATCTGAGAACATTGTATATTCATGAATCTAATTGCGTTTAATTAGGTGAAATATAATGACATTGCTAAGAATCACAAAATTTGTAAATAATAGTTAAAACTAATAAGATTTTAAATATATTAATAAAAATTTAAAAATTAACAAACTAACGAAAGGAAATTTTTGGAGAGCGAGAGGAGGAAAAAGTTTTGTCAATTGATAAAACTTTGATAAAAGTTTTCGATAGAAATTTGTTGCGTTTTAAAAACAGATTTCAAAGCATTTATGAGGTAATAATTTAAACAATAATCTAATAATATTAACAATTTAAAAGATTATGTAACATCGATTTAAGCACTACAGAGCTATCAATATTATCAAAATATTACTTAATTTATATTAACATTTTAAGCATAACATTGGCTTTAATACATACAATAGCATAATCGTATAGAATATAAAGGCGGCAACATATTGAAATTATACCTTTGGGAATATTATATCGAGCGACTTTATTTCATCCTTAGGCACCGGCTGGGTGACCGACGGGCCGAGATTCAGAAAAGCTCCTCCGAGGAACCGGTCGGTCAAGTAAATTTGCAGGATCACATTTATAAAATTCAGAATCTCGCACAAAGTCAGATAGTATGCCCATGGACGATTCAAGTGCAGGCGGTTTATGAAGCCGGTGCGAATCTGTTGTATCTTCTCGTCGCGATCTTTTCTCGACGGTACCTTCAAGTCATCGTTCACCTTGATCTCCGTTTCACTTAATGAAATAGATGCGAAGTGCAACCCTGATACCAGCATACTCAGTCGGCCGCCTGGAATTGAACAGTTGCACGAATCGGTCTGTGCGCAGAGTTTTTGCAATTTCTACCCGCAACGGTGTCGCGACGTTCCGATTTTCGCGAATGTAAGTAATGTCTGGTTGATTATTCAAATAATGACGAATATCCGTCGAAACGCCTACGTTGTGCAAATATTACTATCATTTGCCGGCATTACAAAGTAATTTTGTGAATGGCATAATGCTACGTTGTAAGTGGGACACTCTGTATGCAGGTGTTGTATGATTAGATCATGACGGCGAGAAAAGATTAATGATGATTAGCTCGCGCCGCTTGAGATAAACGCGCGCGGTCGTAAACGTCGCGCGACACGTCGGCGGATACGTGCGAGGCGCTATAGCTGCAGGTAACGACCTTCCTCTTTCCGCCATAGGTAGTGCGGCAAGTAAAAGAGGAGCGCCTGAAAGAACAGGATAAAGGGCACCCATTGGTAATAAGCGTGGTGTATGACGGGGTCAGACGCGTCTTTGGCAACTGGTCCAATGCCGGGGTGCGGTATCTCGCCCCGCCGCAGCGCGGTAGCGTTCAGATGCTTCACCTGAAGTGTTGAAAATCAGTTAATAATAGGGAGCACGTGTGCGGAAGACGATTGTACTTCGGGTTTTTAACTTTCGGACGGGAAGGGAAAAGGGTTTTTATAACATCAATAATTTTTAATATGACAACTTTATTTGGACTATTAATTTCCATACTTTAGTTGTGAGTAAAGTACGGAAGTAAAGTGAGTAAAGTAACAAACATGCACAGTACAGGTAAACTCACTTTATTTAACAATGAACAACCACTATAAATGATATGGAATCAGTAGAATTACAACATTTATTTTCGACAGAATTTTAGACTTTGTACTTACCACGGTAAATGTGGTCGTGAAAAAGCAATAGGTGTTCATGACACGAGCTGGTATACCCTTGTCTTCGGTGACGCAGCTTTTAAAAATAACAAAAATTTGGTCACGTTATATCGCTTGTTTAATTTCAACGCAATTATAAATTATTATGATCAAAAAATTTCACGATTATCATATGTATACCTTATATGTTCCCCGATAAATTGTCTGGAGGAGACCAGAATGGACGCAACGAGAAGCAACAGAAATGTAGCTCTGTAATGCAATCTGAAAACTGAGCACAGCCCATTTTTTTTTCTTTTTATTTATCTACTTTAACCGCATAACTTTTCTTTTTACTTAGTTAATATCAGGTGTACAGTGTATATATTATATTTTATGTAGCGCGTTACGTAAAAGTGATAACTAATCAATAATTAAATTTGTATGATAATTCGTGACGCAGTGATAAGTAAATTCTTCCAAAGCGTAAGAACATCGTTAATTTTAAGAGCGTCCAATGTCATAGATAATTATATAGAGAACACATGGCGTTAGAACAAATGTCAGAGATAATTAACATATAGAGAACACGTATAGTGTTAGAATTGAGATATTTGTTACCGATATTGTCAATTGCTACCGAATTCTGATTGACTTTGAACTTGACGTGATCCTTGAGGACTGAGAAGGCAGCGACTACGGTGGTCGCTGCCATGTCGGGTTGATTTTTCACAACTCTTCCGGAAGCGGAAAGTTAACGTTCCTCTTTGTGTTGCCCGAGCACAATAATAATTGGCGAAGTTATGAATTCGCGCCGTTGCAGCGTTGATACGAGCGCGAATCTGTCACGTTTGGCGAACTTTCCGGCTGGTCGAGATATTCAGAATACTTTGTATCCAGATACACGTAGAAACGCGACGTTCCATAATCCGTATAGAATATATAGATCCGTATAGAGTACCGATCAAGAACGTACTGAAAACTCGAAGAAGCATCAATCTCTCAACTGTTATCAGAATGACGGCGATTACGCATCGCCCTATAGACGTTCCACAAAACTTGGTATTATCGAGAGAGGCAGTGCGTTATTATTGTTAAAACGTTCCATTCAGATAAGAGCAGATAGTGCGCAGTCGACGCGAGAAGACACAGTCATATAACTGCGAGTCGAAGAAATAATGAGTCTGTAATACTGATCCACAATTTTAACGACAATCCTCTTACGGAGATTGTGGATGAGACAACGACCTATGACCTAGTTAGTTGTGATCTATCATCGCTAAAGAACCCTTGTAGCTGCGAAGCCTGCGAATGATTGAACAATAAATTTCAATAGAAAAAGTGTTGGCGAGGAATTAAATATCTTTCTCAAGAGGCGACATTTCTTTGAAATGATGTGAAGATGGTTACACAAGAGGGGAAAAAATTGACGAAATATGAAATTCTCTTTATTAAATAATATTTTACTTATTTCGAAAACGTTAAAAACATCCATTGTCATTTATTAATAAATGCTTCTTTAAAAATTTATTATGTATTAATTTTTCATCGAAACGTGTTTAAATATATTTATAAGATTCTTTATGATGTGCCGAGAATTGGCATCTCATAAATATTTAAAATCTGTTGTAGTGATTTCAGAATCATAAATCTGAAATTCTATAATATATAGCACCGCAAGAATAATTTTCTTACATAAAAACGATGTTTGCATGGCTCGTGGAATCTTATTTGTGAAATATAATTAAAATTTTATATCATATTTACTTGCAAATATATATGATTTCATATACAATATATACATATATCAAGCGTCTTGTAATTATTCCTACGAAGAGAGATTCTTAAATTAGATTTATTATCTTTCAAAAACAATGCGTGAAAATATAACTGAATTGTTACTACGGTGACCGTATTTTCTTTTAGAAAATATAGGTTAAATCTGAAAAAGAACCATACGATTCCTTTGGAAAAATAACTTCGATCAAATTGTTTCGTTTTGAGATGTTGTAATTTTTTCAATTTTCTGAACAAAATGTCTCCATTTCTTATCTAAAATTATTAGATAAAGAAATATAGAGCTCTAAAAGCTCTAAAGTTATCGAACCTGAATTGAAGAAATAATGAGTCTGTAGTATTGCTATATCTCTTTAAGATAACTTAATACTTTCTTTTATGTATAATAGGTATAAGTGTGCATGTATTTTTCAATGTTAAGTACTACGTGTGTATGCATATGCCTGCCTGCATACGTATATCTATTATACATAAAAGAAAGTATTAAATTATCTTGGCTGATTCTACATTAGTCGCATCGCAGCGTCACAAACGTTGCAATCCAATCAAACGTCAAGCTAGCTCGATGCTGACTGGATCACAACTGGATGAATGTAGAACCAGCTTTAAAGAGATATATAGTAAACATTTAAGTTCTATAACTTCAGAGCTCTACATTTCTTCATCTATTGATTTTAGGTAAGTATGCTAATGGAGATATTTGTTCAGAATTCTAAAAACAACATATATCAAAATAGAATAATTTTATCGAGATCATTTTTACAAGAATCGTAGGGAATTCTTTTAGAATTTTGATCCTACATGGTTCCAAATCAGTTGACAATCTGCGAATTATGAAATTTTCTTGCGTAGTATAAAATAAGATACTGCACAGTTTTCTGATAGTTTAAATGATGATTCGACTGTAGTGGAACGAGCCTTTGGTTTAAATTTGAAATTCGAAATATTAAAAAACAGATCTAATTTGAATAATTTGTATTACAAACAAATCAAAAATTAACAAAAGACAAAAAACAAATTATATTTATATATATTTATTTCCCGTATTGTTAAAATAAAGGACAAAATTGAATTTTAAAAAATAAAAAAATCTATATAGGACAGGACAACTACTTGAAGTAAAGGATCTGTCTTTGTCTTTTACAATAAAGAACGTATAGTCACCATAACTGTTACGGACAATTCCTTCCTGTATGAATTATTCTGTCCAGTATAATTAAAAGCACATCTTATATATGTATAATAGTTATCCTAAAAGGTTTCATAAATACGCTAGACGCAATATATAGCGCCGTTAATATTCATTCGGTCCATAATGAGTTCTCGCAAGACAGCGAATCGCTCACAAATTACAGGTAAGTGCCGACAGGAACGGATCGTCACATTTCAAAGTACGAGGCCGACGAAATCGTGAAAATACGTGCCAAAACGTTATTATATTCTTACATTTACGTAATATAAATAGATTTAAAAAATTGATATAAATATTTTTAAACAAACTTAATTCGTGATCTTTTGAAAATCGAATTATCGATTAGAACAATGATATAAATCATATAGGAATATAAAACCAAACATTTTTTTATGTAGTATTTCTTTTTTGTAGAATTTTTACTAAGAGTATATTTATTAGCGAGTTGTTATATAGCGGGTTGTCAAACATTTTCGTCGTAGTATGTAGACATATTTATTGTAGCGACTTTTCGCTAAACAAGTCGCTAAACAAACTCGTTAAGCGCTTTCTCGTTAAGTGCTTTCAATTTACAATCATTTGTACGGACATGTTAATTATCATGACGTATTATGACTCTTTACGCTGAAAGGAATAGCATTTCGCCGCGCCGTACGAGAGCGGCAGCGGTTTTCCTTTACGTTGCCCCGTTGCCGCGAGAGGATCAATTTTCTCAACTCTGGTGCGTCTTTTGATGTTGGGAAAAGCTCGACGCGAACTCGCTGCGCGTTCTAAACCCTATCCTAAGCCTATCTGGTTTCCCCGTTGCAGCTCCGCCCCTGGATGGATTCGGAATCGGTGCCGTGTGTTATACGGCAAGAGCGAGCCATGATGCTGGCCGAGCACCGTACGGTGGAGACCAACTGTGGCGCTTGGCTTGCCACAGCACGGGCGGCGCGCAACGTAGACGTTGAGCGTCGACGTGGACGGGCGAGGACAGGAACCCTTTCTTTCGAGGACTCGTTCGTTCTGCCGGCGGCTCGGACTCGCCGGGGCCAATGGCCGGTCAAAGTCCCACCTTCGACGTTCGCCAGCTCTCTGCCCCCTCGTTCTCCTCGCGCGGCCGCTCCGTGATGCTCTTTGCCGGTGTAGCGGTCACCCTTGGCGGTCGTCCTACACCATAGCTCGCCGTCCCCTATGGTCCCCCTCGACGTCCGAACTTCTTGCACGTCCGACGCTCATGAAGGGGGGGCCCCCGTCAAATCGGAGCGGCGCGCTTCGCCGCCGACCCATCCGCAGCCGTCCGACTCTGCCAGACCCACTCTCTTGCTTGGGGAACGGTCGTTCTAGAATAAATCCTACCTCGTTGATCGATCAACGCCGATCGAACTGTCGGGAATGACGAAAACAAGGTTGATTCATCATTCACGTGAACGTGCTATATCTACACATATAGGATTGAACTTGTAAAACAGAAATCCCTTCCCTTCGATGAATGATAAGAATGGCAATAATACTTAGATTTCCAAATATCTTGCGCAACTCTGTTTCAAAGTCGATATTCGGAATTCTCGCATAGAATTATACCGAAGAGAGATACTGACGAATCAAGATTTACTCCGCCACGACGACGTGGCTCACGAGCTTGGCTCTGTGGGAATGACAGGAATTCCAGCGTGGCTATAAGTGCCATCGGATTATAATAGCAACTGACACCCCCCCTTGTACCAAGCGCAAGAATATGTAACGCGTTCAACGGGCACGTACGACTCGAGTTGCCTTTATGCATACCCGCGTATCGTAGATGGGTGTCGTTTCGTTCCTATGATTCGCTCGTTAATAGCTGGGGATTTGTAATTGGAGCTCGCTGTATGTACACATGTACGACGTTCGCTGAACGAATCATTCCGTTGAGAATTGAAAGATCTCGCAATTTCAGTTTTAATTGACGGTCAGGGGTGCGCTACACGACGCACGCAAACGCTACTCGTGGACCGCACTCGTATAGATTAACTCGCGAGAAATGAATGATTTATTCTCGGAATTCCGACACGCGGATTTCGTCGTCGCGAGTAAATAATTATCTCTCGCGAGTTAATCTATTGATCAATGGCGCGCGTGTGTAATGCTGTTCCGGGACCATAAATTAAAATCAGAATATCCCATGCGTTACATCTTCTTCGCCCTCCTCCTCCTCCTCCCCTCCTTAATTAATACCTCGGACGGCCGAGTGAGCAAGTCGCGAACAAGAGACGTCGAGCGAACGTACATTTAAGCCGCTTGAGATTAATTTATTAGACTATTTCTGTCCACTGCTTCTCTCTGTCTCTCTCTCTCTCTCTCTCTCTGAATTTACATCTTCGTTGTTTATTCGCATCACGTTTCACCGACGCGGGTATACGGGAGTATATTAATTCAGTGTGCAGTGGCGGATTGTATTCGGGGCCCCGCATAACGTATGGTCCTTAAATTATTGCGTGATTGTAGTTATCCGTTTTTTTTATTTTATAATGTGTGAATGACGTAATTTTACACACACTCTATATATACATAAAATTCAGTTGGAATTTAAAAAAATGCCTCAATTATACGGTTTTGCTATAAGAGCACTGAATTTGTTATAGTGTATACATGTATAATGCGTATAATAATCCATCGTTTTACTGTATATAATAATAATAGTAATAAGAGATATTTTTTCTTTCTAACACAAATCTGGTTCCACTTAGGGCATTACCAGCAAGTTCTCCTTTCAAGGGAACTCTAAGTTTTCCATTAAAGGAACGACAGGTTCTTTTCTCTTCTAAGGGAATTCTAAATTCTCCACTAGTGTCGCTAGTCTTACTCACGCTCTCCGAATATGAGCGAACTCTACTCACGTTCCGATTCCAAAAATGCTGCTCGTCTAGCCGGTCACGTTACACGTGCGATGTAACGTGACCGCCGTCGCTTTATTATTCCGATCTGGTCGTTAACGTCAGATTACTGTCTGCTCGCTATATGGTATGCGAGCCGGCGCGACGAATCGTCATAGAGATGAACGTTTCCTTCGGGATAAATACAGCTCGGCACGCGTGGAGTCAGGCTGCGTGTAACGAGCGCGTTATTGTATAACGCAACTCTCTAATTTATTAGATGTCGTTGTGTGAATGCCCTTTCATGAACGCCCACCGAGGCAATGTACGTGACGTCACTCCGTATAATTGATACGTAAAGTCGCAAATGGAATGACGTATTAAGATACAATTACAGTGAGCCCTTATCGGGCGAAAAATTAAAATAAAATGAACGGAACTTGTTAAAATCATGTGACAAATGGAAATGCTAAAAAATAATATATTGTATTATTTCTAATACACTATATTAGTATAATAAGTGTATGTTAATAATAATTGCATATACTCTTATATCGTATGCGACTGATGATTTAACATATTATTCATTTTAACAGGATAATTATTAATTCTTTCTTTTCTTTTATCACTTACGATCTTCTGTATATTGTTGCGTTGATAGAAAAATGACAAGTAAAAAAATGAGTAATT